AATTGGATTAATATTGAACTGATTATAGAAAAATTAATTTGGATCTAACTTAACTTTTAGTTTTCTTTTTTACAGCCAATATGCTACTTTGTAGACTTTGATGTATAGTTTTACTCACCACTAATAATCTAAAATACTTTAGGTGTTTGAATAACAGGTGACGTTACAGTCATAATTAATTGTTTATTATTATTCAGCGGACTAACTAGTCGGTTTTCTTTTCCTCACCAAAATGTGTAATTTCAATGAAGAAAGGAAAGAATCCGTGAATGACGTAAATGCTCATTCTATTCTTTGATTTGCTACTACCTTTGCAGTAGACTAGTTTCGCCGAATTCACGGCTCATCAGTACTGCTTGGGAGAGCGAAGCAAACAAAATCATTAGACCTTATATTGTGGTAGAATGCAAACAGTTTCCAGACTTTAATATATAGTCATTTTCTCACCATTAATAACTTGCAGAGGGAATTGCAAATCAAAAAATAGATTGGGTCATTTGGGTCTCTACGTTATTCCCCAATTCTTTCTTCTACACTGATATTACACGTTTTGGTAAAGAGTAGAAACATTCACAAATAATATACTACTTTGATAGTTAATGTCTTGATAATCGTAATATTTACAATATGACACCAATATATATTTTTTATTGGCTCAACTCAAATTTTCTTTTTTCTATTTTTGCACCAGTACTTATATATTTATAAATTATATAAAATAGAATACATATTTATTTCTGAATACCAGGAGAAGTGTAAGATAATAATTGTGACCTTTTTTTTTTTTCGAGTAAAAAAACTCAACGAGTAATGTTTATTACTTTTAGCAGCTCTAGAAATGAAATTTTTTTTTTTTTTAGATACAAAGAATTATTCTATAAAAGGTTATATTCACTTTCTGCAAATTATATATACCGTATTACCCCCGGGGGCGTTGCAAACTGAAAAGGGGGCGTTAATTATAGTATTTGTGCCGTACCAGATTCTATTTTTCACATGTGATTTGTTGATTTCAATGCTAATATGTGTTTGTGTGTGTTTTTTTTCTCTTATTTTTTAAATCAAAATTATGGTAATAAAAGTTAATTATATGTTGAATTACTATTGCTGTTATACAAGAAGCTTTATAAAAATATCAGGGGCGTTAATTAGGGGCAATACGGTATATATCCGAAATATAAAACGTGATGGCTTGTAAATAACGATGGTATTTTAGAAAAAATAATTTCTACCAAACCACCCCACCCGCCGGTGGGACAACGGTAACTTTACAGATTTACAACACTAAAATCTGGGGCTCAATTCCCTACGGTAGATACTGCAAATATTCTTGTGTAGCTCTGCTATAAAACAAACACACATATTACCCAAAACTAAATGCAAGGATATTTTTATGAAGATGTAAAAAATACTTAAAACTATACAAAATATAATACAATAATTATAGTATTTTGGCACTTGTGTATTAAGTTAAAATCATAAATAATATTCAACGTTAAACTGGTACACAATTAAAAACATTTTATTTAGGCCTATTTATGGCCTTCAAAAAGTTGACGACTCTACATGTTTCGACGTTACATCCTGGGGATACTATATTAAAAAATTCGATCAAACCGTTTTTTAAAATATAATGAAGTCTCTATCTAAAATGAAATCTTTATCTTGATATAAAAACACTTGTATTTACATGCTTAGCGGTGTCATACTTGATTAATTAATAGTGATAAAAATTAAATTTATTATTATCTATACTTTTTTGTTTTCGTTACCTTTTTAAAAATGAAAACCTGTAGACTTTCTGACAGTCGAACAATTAACTTTTCTAATATTTTTACTATTTAGAATCCGTAAATGAACCAACATTTTATGGTGAGATAAGTGTTGTTTTTACGTATAAATTATAAATTTCATCGTGAGCTATAAATGAAAATTACATAATTTTGCTCCTAAGGATAGCATAGTTTTAACTATCATGTTTCATTCCAGTCAACATGAAAATTAAATGAAATACGTTTTCCTCTAAACGTTTATTCTATCTAGGTGTTATGCACAATTATTTCATTACATAATATTCATGCAGTGATTATTTTATTTAAACATTTTTCATAATCTTTTATATCAGTGCTGTGAATACGATTGTTTATGTGTGAAAATATTCGGAACAAAATAATTATTTTGGTACATTCTAATCATAAAACTATTATTTATCGAAATGTTCTTCATAACATTTATTTTGTTGAGTGGTATTCACAAAATAATTATTTTGGTACATTCTAAACATAAAATTATTATTTATCGAAATGTTCTTCATAACATTTATTTTGTTTAGTGGTATTCACAAAATAATTATTTTCTGAAACATAATCAATTTGGTGCTGGGAGGGTAGAGTGAATTCTTGTAACTAATAGCGTGTAAAATGATTTCAAACTCAGCAGTGAAACGGATAATATATTTTGGTAAATTTCAGGTTAATATGTTAAGGTAGTCTTATAGCCTGTTGGTAAAAGAGTAGCCCAAGAGTTGGCGGTGGGTGGTGATGACTAGCTGCCTTCCCTCTAGTCTTACACTGCTAAATTAGGGACGGCTAGCGCAGATAGCCCTCGTGTAGCTTTGCGCGAAATTCCAAAAACAAACAATCTTATAGCCTACGCTGTAGAAGAACGTGCATTTGAAATCATGAGTCGAGTCAAGAATTATTGCTGACTTGAGTTCTGTATGTAGTAGTTACTAGTTTTAAATTGATTGGTGGTATAGTACACGGAACATTTAGGCTATAAAAGCGAAAAATTTAATAATCGCTTTTTTTAGAACAAAATGCCTATTTAGGTACAACTGAGATTTC